AAAAAGTCATTTTTCGAAACGGTTTTTTTTTTCTAACATTTTTTTTGCATATGTAAAATTAAATTTCTTATATATAATAGACATGCTCTTGTAAAAAAGGGTCAAAACTTATCTCAGTTATTTTTTTTTTTTTTCTTTTGCATTTTACAATAATTTATTGCAGTGCAAAGGTGCAGGGGTGGATTTCACCCAGAATGACTATTACGTCATTTTTCGGAAGTGTGACTGAAGAGAGTTAAATTTTATTTTTCGCAGATGCGTCATTGGATTCTTTATTCCGTATCATGTGAACTGAGGGAACAAGACTTGCGGAAAACAATCGGAATAGCTGTGATTGGCTATCTCAATAACGCACTCTCCGTTCCGCAGCTCTTTTCCGTATCATCTGATTTCACCCTTACTTGTAGGGTCTTTATGGGCGGTATTCATAGGGCAGTATTCATAGTCCGTTCTTATATTCAAAATCGTCTTAAGCACGGACTTATATTCGCTCTCTTCGTCATACATAGATTGTGTCTGACGAAGAGAGCGAATATAAGTTTGTGCTTAAGACGATCTTGAATATAAAAACGGACTATGAATACCGGCCATAGTACGTTCTTATATTCAAGATCGTCTTAAATACGGACTTATATTCGCTCTCTTCGTCACACATAGATTGTGTCTGACAAAGAGAGCGAATATAAGTCTGTACTTAAGACAATCTTGAATATAAGAACGGACTATGAATACCGGCCTATGACTTTTTATTATGGTTGTGTTCCGAAATTCACTGCCAGTACTGAAAATCTACAATATACGTGACGTAAACTATAGATTTTCAGTACTAGTAGTGAATTTTGGAACACAGCCTATATTTCAGTTGTGACTTGTGGTGTATTTTGTATTAGCCAATCAAAGAAAGACATTTATTAGTTTGAATAACCGTTTGAGGAGTTTGCGGATTTTGACGATTTCCTTGCTTCGATATTATTTTGCTGAAAGCAAGTACGTTTTGTTATAAGTTGTGTGCATAAAATTTAGTAAGTAAATTGATATGTAAAACTTAAAAAAGTTAACGGTAGAGCGATATATATTTTCATATATTTATATAATTTTGAAGTTATGATAATGTTTATGATGTGCCATATATGTACATTATTGTGAAAGCATTGCTATTTGTATTTGTAATTGTAGGACCGGTATAAAAGTGACAGTTGTGCTTATTAGAATGGATAAGGAAAATGATAAAACAAATCATCAGTCGACTACGCAAGCATTAAAAGTCAGCCGTTTTAAGTACTTGCACATTTCTGAAACGACTTTAACGGACATTACTCGATCAAAAAATGTGGAAAGTACGAATAACGATGAAGAAGAAACATGTGAGATTATGTTGACAAAAAATACTGACCAAGATGAAAATAACACTGCAAAAAAGTCTACAGAATTAATGCCACCGCCTAAATTGCTAGTAGTGTCCAAGTCAGCAGGTATTACTCAGGATCAGCAAAAATCTAATACTGATAATGCCAAAGAAGTAAAGGACAGCAAAAATGAGGACACCCAGAAAGTCTCTAATGCAGCTGCAAGTAATCCAAGTAAGGAAAATCAAAGACAGAAGACATGGGTATTGACAGATTTTGATATTGGCCGACCTCTGGGTAAGGGAAAATTTGGTAACGTGTACCTAGCTAGAGAAAAAAGATCGAAATTTGTGATAGCCATGAAAGTGCTTTATAGAATGCAAGTAGAAGATGCTAGGATTTCGCATCAAGTACGACGTGAGATAGAAATTCAAACTCATTTAAGGTATATCCTCATTTGTTTTATTCTTGTTAGTTATATAAAATGCAAGACTCACATGAATGTTTTTTCAATGATAGATTCTCTAATCAATTTGGAGTAAAACTTTTTCTTAGCAAAGTGTATGTAAGAATGATCAATTGTGTTTATTTATCATATCTTCTTTTCATCTAAATTTTTAACTATGTTATAAACAGTAAGTCTATTAAAAACAATTCTGTTTGAGATAAAAAGTAAACTCAAATGACTTTACTTATTTTTTTTGTGAAATCCTCTTATTGTTTATAATTGTATTTGTATAATTGATCTTATTTCTACTGAGAAAAAATTGACTTTAAATTTGAAAATTTTTCATTAAAAGGATATTTATGAGTTTACTGCATATATGCTTACTGCAAAAATGAATCTTTTTCTAGAATAAAAATAACCAATATTATAAATGAAAGATCAAAAAACATCAACAGTTAGAGTATTCATCATCAATATTTATGCCCAAACTTAACTTTGCTTAATTTTTGTTTTGTTAGTATTCTAAATATATATATTTGCTTTAAATTTCTGTACTATTTTTGTACAATTCTGCAGCTTTTAGTAAACATATTGATTTTTTCCTTATAGTAATCTGAAAAATAAAGATTGATTACACTTGTTCCAAGATATACTAGAAGAGCTTTATTTTTTTTCAGACATCCAAACATTTTAAGAATGTATGGATATTTTTATGATGACCAGCGAATTTATTTAATATTAGAATATGCACCGAAAGGAGAGCTTTATAAAGAACTAAATAAGCAACCCAATAAGCGGTTTGATGAAGAAAGGTAGGTTCATAAAAAATAATTTTGTGAACAATTGGGATTAATTGTATATTATGCTTTGCAGAACAGCCAATTATGTAGCTCAATTAGCAGATGCGTTAAAATATTGCCATAGTAAGAATGTTATTCATCGTGACATTAAACCTGAAAATCTACTTCTTGGAGCAAATGGTGAATTAAAAATAGCTGATTTTGGATGGTCTGTGCATGCTCCTTCCTCTAGAAGAGATACTTTATGTGGTACTTTAGATTACTTGCCACCTGAAATGATATCTGGTAAAACGCATAATCACACAGTTGACTTTTGGAGTGTCGGAGTATTATGTTATGAATGTTTAGTTGGCGAGCCACCTTTCTTTGCTAAGACTAGTGATGAAACTTATGTAAACATAAAAAGATTGCGATTCACATTTCCAAGCTTTATTAGCGAAGATGCAAAAGATTTAATTTCAAAGGTATGTTTAATAAATATTTTAGTATTGATAACACACACACATTTATCTTAAAACTTAGTTAATTTTTAATGAATTGTATTTCAGTTAATAGTTATTGATCCTGAAAAGAGATTGGATATGAACGGTGTTCTCACCCATCCTTGGATTGTGAAACATTGCAAAACAGATAAGCCATGAAATTTTCAGTCATCAATATTAATATCTAATTATGTTAAATATACGTCTCTACATAAATATACTACTACGTAAATTCATTACAATTCTCTCTTCTGACAGTCAATGGAAAATTAATTGCTACATAAACTATTGACATTATTTATTATGTATCTAAAATATCCTTTTATACATATAAACGGTTTTTTAAATACGTATTTAATAGATAAGCTCTAATTTATAGATTTTTAAAACAAGAAGCAAGAAAATTTATCTCGCAACAACTTCTATTGCAATAGTATGTGCCATCTTTTATGATTTTGTGACATGTTTTCTATTTTAGTCAAATTACAAATAATTTCTTCATATTTATGGGAAGCTCTATTTTGAACGTTTCTCTCAATCCTCACTTATATTGTAATAGCACATGTGTGAGATAAAAAAGTGCATGATTATATAATAAATGTGAAGTAATGAAGAAGCAGCACATGTGGAGATATTTAATATACAAAGATTGAATTGGTTTAAAATACGGAAGTTTGCTTATTGACAATTCAAGTGAATAAACAAAAAATGTATGAAGAGTATGTATGTCAGCGCATATGTGTATGTACTAAATAATTATTAAAGAATATTTAATAGAAAAGTATAAGTAAAAAAATTTATAAGATTAATTTTAAAAACATACATAGTACACATGATTTAATCTATGCATGTAATAAAAAGAGAAAAATATATTATTGAACATAAACTTTTATTGACAAAAACTTTAATCAAAAATTCTTTCGTCACAATCAAAGTCACAATTATAAACGTGTGTATATTTTCTATGCTTATGTAATTAAAAAATAATGAAAAATTTCAACTGTCATGATAAATTGTCAGTTATTAATTATTTAGCAAATACTAAATCTATATGTTCACTTATAAAATATCAATGCAACTAAAAGTTTTGATTGAACTGTTAAAAGAGTACCTTTCATTTCTGTGTAAAGTTTAATATGAAGTTTGTTAATGGAAGAATTTTTTAGCAATTTCCATAGACTTTTTAATTGCACTTCAAGTTTCCATTGATTCCATAATTACATCAACAATTGGTGCATCTATTGGTGTTTCTATTGGTGTTTCCATTGGTGTAATCTCAGAACTCTTCTTAACTGAATACAGCTTACTCAACTTTTCATAATGCTTAATATCCTGTAGAATGTGACTTTGTGTTATTTTATTCAATAAACCAGAGCTCGGAATTATTTCAGCTTTTCGGCCGATTCTTGTGGTATACGCCTCCTTTCCTCTCCTTACCGCGCGCGCGGCAGCCGTTAGGGCCAGCGCCGCCGAGCGTTAGGCGCTATCCGATTAATGTTAAAAAAATTTATTAAAAATATTTTTTTCCTTAATAGCAATTAGTACTTCATGGGTGACGTGGAAATTTATTGAAATATTCCCACATAATAAATTTAAAAATAAAAAAATATTTTTAATAAATTTTTTTAACTTTTAATGATCAAGGGAGAAGAATCCAACATTTATCGGATAGTGCCGCTTCTAACGTTTGGCGACGCTGGCCCTAGCGGCTGCCGCACGTGCGGTAAAAAGAGGAAAGAAGGCGTATATTACGAGAATCGGCCGAAAAGCTGAAATAATTCCGAGCACTGCGTTAAACTATAAATAAATCAAGTAGACACTTGCCTTCTCGCGAACAGACGGTTGTATTTTATCGAATGCTCGAAAGATGTGCCGCATAGAAATTTCTGAGTGTCCATAACCGGCTATTATCTCCTTCAACGCTTCCATACCAGCTTCTCTTATCAAAGCTGCTAAATCTGCTCCAGTATAACCTTGACACTTGTCGTGATATCCCACTTGCTCCAAATTAACGTCTGATGCAAGTTTTGGTTTTGTTGCATTCTATAAATTATAATAAATTATTTACGTTAATTAGTTGCATCAAAAATGAAAAAATGTAAAACATTATTCAACAGATAAAATTATAATTATGTGCGCGCGCATATGCACACTTTTATACTATACACATACTTTTGTTAATGCACGTAAAATATCGACTCTATCTGAAGCTGTTGGGAAACCAACGTATAAAATTTTGTCGAGTCTTCCTGGTCTCAAAACAGCTGGATCTATTATGTCAGGGCGATTACTAGCGGCCATAAGAAATACACCTTGTCGATCCTCGACACCATCCATTTCTGTAAGCATTTGATTAACGACACGTGATGTTGCAGAATGATCACCTTCTGTTCTTTTAGGACATAATGCATCTAATTCATCAAAGAATATGACGCACGGTGCCGAATTTCTTGCTCTTAAGAAACATTGACGAACTGCTTTCTCACTTTCGCCAACATACTAAAAATGTGAAACAAAATAAATCTTTATATTTTCAAATATATATGTAATATTATAACTGTATTATTCAATCTTACCATATTTAAAAGTTCAGGTCCTTTAACGGAAATAAAATTAATCCCAGCTTCATTAGCAATAGCTTTGGCAAGCAAAGTTTTTCCACATCCGGGTGGACCACATAACAATACTCCACTAGCAGCAGTTAAACCTAATGCATTAAATTGTTCAGAGTGCTTAATGGGAGCCTGTAATAAAAAATATATATGTTTAAACAAAAAATATTAATACTTTTAGTTTAAAAACGATGGAATAGCAGGAGGATCTCAAGCCAAAGAAGATTGTAATTCTTGATATTTATTATTGAAACCAATGTTTTAATTAAGCAGCATACGTTTCAGCTGATCATTCAGCCATCATCAGCCATCATACGTGATCACTTCATAAGAGTTTTTATTAATAATGACGAATTAAACTTACGGTCTTCTAAGAAACAGTTTTGTAAAGGTAGCACTGATGATGGCTGAATGATCAGCTGAAACGTATGTTGCTTAATTAAAACATTGGTTTCAATAATAAATATCAAGAATTACAATCTTCTTTGGCTTGAGATCCTTCTGCTATTCCATCGTTTTGAAATTTGCGAGCCTAAACTTCAAGTTATTAACTTATAGTTTATACTTAAGTAAACAAAAATTTGTATTCATATGTTGAAATAAAAGTATTTGTATTTATTGACATTCTCTAATACTCACGAGAATCGCCATTTGCAGTTCCTGTCGTACATCTTGCAATGAGCCAACATCGTCCCAGGTTACATCAGGAACTGTTGCAAATCCTTCTCTTTTCGCTGAAGGTTGAACAACGCGTAAAGCAATCTCAAAATCACTATGCTCAATACACAAGGTTGATAGATGTTTTGCGGAAAGGGAAAGCTCGCTGTGTAACCAACCCAATAAGCTTGACAAATCCGATGAGTGTTCCTGTATTATGTCCATTTCAGTATTATCCAAAGTTACAGGAGTTTTGGATACATCTCTTAGGAACGCGGTATCATTTTGTACCGTAGTAGTAGGAACTTCTGTCGTAGGAACACTGGTATTTTGATTAATTAAATTTCCCGAATCTTTGGAAGTATGAGTTTCCTTGTTAGATTTCTTATCGATTTCGGATGATATTTCGGGTAATTTTTGTTCCTGCCTTGATCTATTTAAATCCTCAAATATTCTATAAAAGTTACATATATACATATATGCAAGTGTGTATGTGTACGGATAAAATTAAAATTATTTGCAAAGATTTACCTATCTACAGCAGCCATGGCAGCTTCTCTAATTAAGGCAACCAAATCTGCACCTACAAAACCTGGAGTGAGGGAAGCTATTGTCGACAAACTAACATTAGGAGCTAATACAACTTTTTCAGTATGCACTGCTAAGATTCTAGCCCTCGCCTCTCTGTCTGGTATGCCAAGGCATACTTCACGATCAAAACGTCCCGCTCTTCTTAAAGCAGGATCTAATGAATCAGGTCGATTTGTCGCACCAATCACCAGTACTCTGTCTCCATTTTCTTTGAAATTTAATTCTGGAAAAAAATATGCTTCATAACAGTTGGCATAAAACAAATAATAAAACATATAATAAAAAATTGAATAGTTTACCATCTAAGCTTGACAATAATTGTGCAACAATTCTTCTTTCCATCTCTCTTTGAGCTGTAGCTCTATGTGGTGCAACAGCATCTATTTCATCTATGAAAATGATGCATGGTGCAAGACTTAAAGCTTGCTCAACCAATTCTCTAATACGAGCTTCACTTTCACCAGATACTCCTGCCACAAGCTCAGGCCCTGCTACTTTTAGTAGAGGTATGTTTAATTCCTAATATAAAAAACAAAATATTAATTATAATAAACTTTCCTTTAATTATATATATATATATATATAAATATAAAGAAAAAGAATACATAAAACTAATAAACATGTATACTAATACTATGACTAATAAATACTACTAATAAATTAATATGTATGTATTCTTTTGATAGAAAATCAAATATGTTTTGTAATATTTATAAAATATCACAAATGTGTTTATTATTCTGTTTATCATCTGAATAATGTTTCTATTCTATTTGTTTTATATTGCTTATTTAAAATTAAATATTATCTTACTCCTGCAACTGCATGTGCTAGTAATGTCTTTCCACATCCGGGAGGCCCATGAAGTAAAAATCCTCTTGGCGGAGATATACCAAGCTGTTTAAAAATTTCAGGATGTTTTATATGGGCTAGTAACTTGCAGACAGTTCTCAAGATTTTGTCACTACCACCTACATCGGAAAATGTAACTTTCGGTTCTGTGACAGGTATAGATTTTGCTTTTTTCGCAATTGAAAACTGTCCACTGTCATTTTCTTTGTCCCTTTGTCGTTTTCTTGCAGATTCTATTAATGGTTGTTTTATGACCTCGTTCACAAGCTGAAATAGGAATAAGCATATACTTTACTTTTAATCCATTATTCTGTAGAATTTGTAGAATTCTGAAATTTTAATTAATCTTTAGTTTTTAGATTATAAAAATTTTACTTGGACATGTATTGAGATGTTGAGATGTAACATTTTATAAACCTCTAAAGATTAATCATAAATTGTGTATATATGTACATACGTTTTTGGATTTTACAGGTAATTCTGACTTTATCGCAAGTGTTTCTGGCTTTGTAATCGATGTTTCTGGCTTTGTAACGGATGTTTCTGGCTTTGGAATAGATATTGCTGATTGTGAGATAGCTATTTCTGCTTTTGAAATAACTGTTGCAGATGTGTGCAAAGAATCTTCATTAACATTACACACAGGCTCAGATGCTTTTACATTCTTTTCAATTTTAGATTCCATCTTTGACACATCATCGTCGCTACTGATATCTATCAATTCCTTATCGCTCGAATTTCCATTCTGTGTGTATGACGACTTATTATACATATGTAATAACATATCACCTATTGAAGTACGTTGTGAATCTAACTAAAATTAACCATATTTGTTAAAAAAATATTGTAAAAATACTAAACAATTAAAAACTTAATATATCTAAATACTTCGACATCAACATCCTCAAAATCATCATCGTCGTATGCAGCACATTCACGTGTCGTAGGTTTCCTTGAGAATATCTCTGTGAGTTCGTCATAAGCTTTACGTACCATTGCACGAAACGTACCACGCTTCTTACCACGATAATCTCTGTATCGTTTTTGCAATGCATCTGCCATTTCATTGACATCAATATATACTTTGTTTTCGTTTTCGTGCATATACTGTGAAATATGTAAAACATGAGTTAAAACGTTATAAAAATTGGACTTTTTTGAATGATCGTGTTGTACAATGTTTTGAATATACAACTTTCAATCTCATTGACATTAAAAGATCTAAGAGGATAACCTAACCTAACCATGTGCGATACGTTACCGTTTGTACGCGTGCAATTAGTGATTGATCTCGAAACAATCTTTGATCCATTCTGAGCTTATTTATGTATCTCGATCTGTAATCGCTGCTTGATCCTTGTATTGGAATGATATCGATCGATGAATTTAATTTACCCACTTTTTGCATTGTATTCCCGAAAAACCAACAAAAACCTGTGAAACGAACTCGAATCGCTCCACACAAATCGCACGCGATTCTCGCGCTCGATGCTCAATTTCAGCGTTAGAAGACATCACGTGATCAAACATAACTAAAGCCCCTTACACAATGCCAGGCAACA